CCCCCACCCACCTTCGGGATGTGTCCACGTGCCGAGGACTGCCCGCTGGCACCTCCCCTGCCCGCCACCTTCTCACGTAAACGCGCCTTCTGCTGACTGTGCTGTGCCCACACCACCCTCCTCCTCTCCAGAGCAACATGCCCCAGCTCCAGCCACCCCACCCAAACCCTTTCCATCTCTAAACGCTGGGCTCGCGTCTCACCACCTCCTCCGGGACTCTTCTCTGACTACCCGACTGCTTTGAACAGGAATTTAGGGCTTGCATTTCCTTGGCTTGCTGAGGGGAAGCCCAGAGGCCTTCTCAAAGCCAGGGATCGAGCATGCTGCGGACACACACAGGGAAACTTCCAGAGGTGGCCCAGTGCTGCAGGTGACGGAGCAGCCAGCCCTGGTCCAGCCCTGGTCCAGCCCGGCCTCAAGCGCACATAGAGGAGGCCTTGCGGTCTCTCTGCTGCCCGACTCTAACCTAAAGTACCCTCTCCAGCTCCCCTCCCCCCACAAATCAAAGTCCAATCCCTGCGCTGATTATAATCCAGAGTCAAGAAGCCACTTGGGAGGCAGAGAAAGTTCAGAACCAGAAAACCTGGCCTGTAATTCGGGCCCCGTGACAGCTGGCTCTGTGGTCTTCCTCCTGTGCAGAGGACATGTGACCGGCCCAGCGCTCAGGCCACTCGGAGGCCGAACGCCAGCATGTGGGCTCCACGCAGAGGCCCCAACACGGGACAGCCAGGGGCAAGGCGGGGCTTTATCGGCAGCCGCCGAATGAATGAAGGCGCACGAAGGCAGCCTGCTCACCTGAGTGATTCTCAGACGGGATCCGGGCCATTGGCCAAACAAGTAAAAACTTTCAAAAGGTACAATGGGAAAGGTCTTAAGGATGGGCAGGATTTAGCTTTCTACGCATCTACACATGACACTGAGCATGTAACATTGAGTATGTAACACTTAGTATTTAACATCATAAGAGCACAGCTGTTATTGGGAAAAGCTCCCCCCGGAAACACGAGGTCTCCAGGAGCCAGAGCTGCCTCCGTAAGCTCCCTCTCTGCCTCGAGCCTCTGTTGCCGTGTGAGTCCGGCTTTAGGGGTGACACAGCACCTTACGTTCTCCCGTTTGAGCTAACACCACCCGAGTGCCTGCCAGGTGAGGGAGGAAAGGGCAACCCACCGGCTGGTCTGCTCTCCACGCGTTCCTGACGTCCAGCCCTTGGAGAATGTGATGCACCATCGTCCTGAAGTCCTCTGTCGTCCCGGCCTCTAGCATGTGGGAAAGCAAGGCTCCCAAGTGAGGCTCGATGTTCTGAATTACCTGAGCCGGGATTGCAGGATCTGTGTGGAATACGGGATAGACAAGGGGAGGCGAGATGAATTAGAGCAGCCACTGAAAGCCACCACTCGGGGGCATGGGAATGCTCCCCGGGCAGGGCACCGACAGCCCCAGCCTGGCGCCTCTCTCCCGGTGCAGAGAGGAGCCTGGGGGGGGGG